TGGGCGCGGAATAGTCAATGCAAAGAGCCCAGAAGCACAGGCGGTCGTTTACAGAGATGCTTTATGGAAATGTTATTCAAAAAGAATCTCAGGTAAATTAGAGTAAGTGTTAGTTGAGTAAAAAAATATTATTATATATATATATATATATATATATATATATATATATATATAATTATGGTATAGTAATTATATAACTAAAGAAGTAGTAATTGAGCGACGGAGCTGAGCTCGGCATCTATGCAATGGCGCTATATCTATAAAGTCAATTTTAGATTTGTTTTGGTTTAATACTGTCTTATATTAACTTGAATTTATTGTACGACGTCAGATTCGACATTAGTTGTGTTTCATATTATATCTATTCCCAGGTTATTGAGACTGTACTGTGGCTGTAATGTGGTGTTTTGAAGAGTATCTATTGTATTCAAAATATTTATAATAATAATGTGTAAAGGGACCGGCTATATTATCAATTTAATTAACGACAATAATAAAATTATTTTTTTATTATTCAGAATTGAAATGAAATATGATTTTAATAATTTATTTGACTTGTATAAACATACTTGTGTTATAAACAGATGTTCAATATTTTAATATTTCAGATCCAATTCTAAAAGTGAATACACTTCAGGAATATAATTTGCTATTTTTGCATTATTTAAATATTAATTATCTACTTGTTTTTTTCAGGAACTATTAACAGTCCTGCTTTACGACATTGTTAGTAACCATAAAAAATATGATCACATATGTGGAGTACCTTACACAGCTCTACCAATTGCTACTTTACTTAGTGTTAAGGTAAAGAAACCAATGCTATTGCGAAGAAAAGATGCAAAAGCATATGGTACTAAGAAAATGATAGAAGGTCATTGTAAAGTGGGTGAAACTTGTCTTATAATTGAAGATGTAGTAACTTCTGGTTCTAGTGTATTAGAAACAGTCAAAGATTTAAATAAAGAAGGGTTAATAGTTAAAAATGCTATAATTATTTTAGACAGAGAACAAGGTGGCAGAATGAATCTTGAATCCAATAATGTATATATTGATTCACTATTTACAATGACTGAGTTAATTGACATTCTCGAAAAACATAAAAAGATTACAAAAGAAATGTCTATAAAGATTCACAAATATTTAAGAGAAGTTAAAGCACCAGTAACTAAAGGTAAGTGCGTATATCTGATTTCTATATAAGATTTACCATTTATTATATCAACTCCTTGATATAAGTTATTTTGTTGATGTCCATTTCCAACAATTTAATAATACTCATTGTTTGCAGATTCATTTGAGGACAGAATTCGAATACCTTTCGAGAAGAGAGCAGAGTTATCAAAGAATCTAGTAGCAATACAACTCTTTAACAGTATGTCTATTAAAAAAACAAACCTATGTTTATCTGTCGATTTGACATCACCTGTAAAAATTCTCGAACTTCTAGAAAAAGTAGGAGAATACATATGCTTAGTGAAAACCCATGTTGATATTATAGAAGATTTTACTTCTGATTTCATTTCTCGACTTAAACAATTAGCGGACAGATTTAATTTTTTTATTCTGGAGGACAGGAAATTTGCGGATATTGGTAACACAGTATCATTACAATATCAAAAAGGGTTATATAAGATTTCAGAATGGGCAGATTGTGTGACATCTCATTCTTTACCTGGAGAGGGTATATTGAAGGCTCTGAGCAGTGCATGTACTGGAATAGAAAACCGTGGTGTATTTCTTCTAGCTGAAATGAGCAGTGAGGTATAAATAGAATCTTAGCTCTTAGATGAAACGAAATTTAAACTTAGAACCTGGTTATGTAAACAAATTATTTTTTTTGACAGGGAAATTTGATCTCTGCAGAATACAGAGAAGAAACTGTGAACATGGCTTCAAAGAATCCAAATATAATTACTGGTTTTGTATGCCAAAATAAGGATACATTTAAAGATCCTGGGCTGTTACAATTAACTCCTGGCGTACAACTCGAAAGTGCTAAGGACGATCTGGGTCAAGTATACAATACACCAGAAAAAGTAATTTTAGAAAATGGTGCAGATATTGTGGTTGTTGGGCGCGGAATAGTCAATGCAAAGAGCCCAGAAGCACAGGCGGTCGTTTACAGAGATGCTTTATGGAAATGTTATTCAAAAAGAATCTCAGGTAAATTAGAGTAAGTGTTAGTTGAGTAAAAAAATATTATTATATATATATATATATATATATATATATATATATATATATAATTATGGTATAGTAATTATATAACTAAAGAAGTAGTAATTGAGCGACGGAGCTGAGCTCGGCATCTATGCAATGGCGCTATATCTATAAAGTCAATTTTAGATTTGTTTTGGTTTAATACTGTCTTATATTAACTTGAATTTATTGTACGACGTCAGATTCGACATTAGTTGTGTTTCATATTATATCTATTCCCAGGTTATTGAGACTGTACTGTGGCTGTAATGTGGTGTTTTGAAGAGTATCTATTGTATTCAAAATATTTATAATAATAATGTGTAAAGGGACCGGCTATATTATCAATTTAATTAACGACAATAATAAAATTATTTTTTTATTATTCAGAATTGAAATGAAATATGATTTTAATAATTTATTTGACTTGTATAAACATACTTGTGTTATAAACAGATGTTCAATATTTTAATATTTCAGATCCAATTCTAAAAGTGAATACACTTCAGGAATATAATTTGCTATTTTTGCATTATTTAAATATTAATTATCTACTTGTTTTTTTCAGGAACTATTAACAGTCCTGCTTTACGACATTGTTAGTAACCATAAAAAATATGATCACATATGTGGAGTACCTTACACAGCTCTACCAATTGCTACTTTACTTAGTGTTAAGGTAAAGAAACCAATGCTATTGCGAAGAAAAGATGCAAAAGCATATGGTACTAAGAAAATGATAGAAGGTCATTATAAAGTGGGTGAAACTTGTCTTATAATTGAAGATGTAGTAACTTCTGGTTCTAGTGTATTAGAAACAGTCAAAGATTTAAATAAAGAAGGGTTAATAGTTAAAAATGCTATAATTATTTTAGACAGAGAACAAGGTGGCAGAATGAATCTTGAATCCAATAATGTATATATTGATTCACTATTTACAATGACTGAGTTAATTGACATTCTCGAAAAACATAAAAAGATTACAAAAGAAATGTCTATAAAGATTCACAAATATTTAAGAGAAGTTAAAGCACCAGTAACTAAAGGTAAGTGCATATATCTGATTTCTATATAAGATTTACCATTTATTATATCAACTCCTTGATATAAGTTATTTTATTGATGACCATTTCCAACAATTTAATAATACTCATTGTTTGCAGATTAATTTGAGGACAGAATTCGAATACCTTTCGAGAAGAGAGCAGAGTTATCAAAGAATCTAGTAGCAAAACAACTCTTTAATATTATGTCTATTAAAAAAACAAACCTATGTTTATCTGTCGATTTGACATCACCTGTAAAAATTCTCGAACTTCTAGAAAAAGTAGGAGAATACATATGCTTAGTGAAAACCCATGTTGATATTATAGAAGATTTTACTTCTGATTTCATTTCTCGACTTAAACAATTAGCGGACAGATTTAATTTTTTGATTCTGGAGGACAGGAAATTTGCGGATATTGGTAACACAGTATCATTACAATATCAAAAAGGGTTATATAAGATTTCAGAATGGGCAGATTGTGTGACATCTCATTCTTTACCTGGAGAGGGTATATTGAAGGCTCTGAGCAGTGCATGTACTGGAATAGAAAACCGTGGTGTATTTCTTCTAGCTGAAATGAGCAGTGAGGTATAAATAGAATCTTAGCTCTTAGATGAAACGAAATTTAAACTTAGAACCTGGTTATGTAAACAAATTATTTTTTTTGACAGGGAAATTTGATCTCTGCAGAATACAGAGAAGAAACTGTGAACATGGCTTCAAAGAATCCAAATATAATTACTGGTTTTGTATGCCAAAATAAGGATACATTTAAAGATCCTGGGCTGTTACAATTAACTCCTGGCGTACAACTCGAAAGTGCTAAGGACGATCTGGGTCAAGTATACAATACACCAGAAAAAGTAATTTTAGAAAATGGTGCAGATATTGTGGTTGTTGGGCGCGGAATAGTCAATGCAAAGAGCCCAGAAGCACAGGCGGTCGTTTACAGAGATGCTTTATGGAAATGTTATTCAAAAAGAATCTCAGGTAAATTAGAGTAAGTGTTAGTTGAGTAAAAAAATATTATTACATATATATATATATATATATATATATAATTATGGTATAGTAATTATATAACTAAAGAAGTAGTAATTGAGCGACGGAGCTGAGCTCGGCATCTATGCAATGGCGCTATATCTATAAAGTCAATTTTAGATTTGTTTTGGTTTAATACTGTCTTATATTAACTTGAATTTATTGTACGACGTCAGATTCGACATTAGTTGTGTTTCATATTATATCTATTCCCAGGTTATTGAGACTGTACTGTGGCTGTAATGTGGTGTTTTGAAGAGTATCTATTGTATTCAAAATATTTATAATAATAATGTGTAAAGGGACCGGCTATATTATCAATTTAATTAACGACAATAATAAAATTATTTTTTTATTATTCAGAATTGAAATGAAATATGATTTTAATAATTTATTTGACTTGTATAAACATACTTGTGTTATAAACAGATGTTCAATATTTTAATATTTCAGATCCAATTCTAAAAGTGAATACACTTCAGGAATATAATTTGCTATTTTTGCATTATTTAAATATTAATTATCTACTTGTTTTTTTCAGGAACTATTAACAGTCCTGCTTTACGACATTGTTAGTAACCATAAAAAATATGATCACATATGTGGAGTACCTTACACAGCTCTACCAATTGCTACTTTACTTAGTGTTAAGGTAAAGAAACCAATGCTATTGCGAAGAAAAGAGGCAAAAGCATATGGTACTAAGAAAATGATAGAAGGTCATTATAAAGTGGGTGAAACTTGTCTTATAATTGAAGATGTAGTAACTTCTGGTTCTAGTGTATTAGAAACAGTCAAAGATTTAAATAAAGAAGGGTTAATAGTTAAAAATGCTGTAATTATTTTAGACAGAGAACAAGGTGGCAGAATGAATCTTGAATCCAATAATGTATATATTGATTCACTATTTACAATGACTGAGTTAATTGACATTCTCGAAAAACATAAAAAGATTACAAAAGAAATGTCTATAAAGCTTCACAAATATCTAAGAGAAGTTAAAGCACCAGTAACTAAAGGTAAGTGCATATATCTGATTTCTATATAAGATTTACCATTTATTATATCAACTCCTTGATATAAGTTATTTTATTGATGACCATTTCCAACAATTTAATAATACTCATTGTTTGCAGATTAATTTGAGGACAGAATTCGAATACCTTTCGAGAAGAGAGCAGAGTTATCAAAGAATCTAGTAGCAAAACAACTCTTTAACATTATGTCTATTAAAAAAACAAACCTATGTTTATCTGTCGATTTGACATCATCTGTAAAAATTCTCGAACTTCTAGAAAAAGTAGGAGAATACATATGCTTAGTGAAAACCCATGTTGATATTATAGAAGATTTTACTTCTGATTTCATTTCTCGACTTAAACAATTAGCGGACAGATTTAATTTTTTGATTCTGGAGGACAGGAAATTTGCGGATATTGGTAACACAGTATCATTACAATATCAAAAAGGGTTATATAAGATTTCAGAATGGGGAGATTGTGTGACATCTCATTCTTTACCTGGAGAGGCTATATTGAAGGCTCTGAGCAGTGCATGTACTGGAATAGAAAACCGTGGTGTATTTCTTCTAGCTGAATTGAGCAGTGAGGTATAAATAGAATCTTAGCTCTTAGATGAAACGAAATTTAAACTTAGAACCTGGTTATGTAAACAAATTATTTTTTTGACAGGGAAATTTGATTTCTGCAGAATACAGAGAAGAAACTGAACATGGCTTCAAAGAATCCAAATATAATTACTGGTTTTGTATGCCAAAATAAGGATACATTTAAAGATCCTGGGCTGTTACAATTAACTCCTGGCGTACAACTCGAAAGTGCTAAGGACGATCTGGGTCAAGTATACAATACACCAGAAAAAGTAATTTTAGAAAATGGTGCAGATATTGTGGTTGTTGGGCGCGGAATAGTCAATGCAAAGAGCCCAGAAGCACAGGCGGTCGTTTACAGAGATGCTTTATGGAAATGTTATTCAAAAAGAATCTCAGGTAAATTAGAGTAAGTGTTAGTTGAGTAAAAAATTATTATTACATATATATATATAATTATGGTATAGTAATTATATAACTAAAGAAGTAGTAATTGAGCGACGGAGCTGAGTTCGGCATCTATGCAATGGCGCTATATCTATAAAGTAAATTTTAGATTTGTTTTGGTTTAAATAGAGTGACTTGACAGAGGTCCTATAAACTTTAGAAACTATAAAATACAGGTTCTTATATTTGTGTACAAACAGGATAGATCGTAAAATATATACTAAGCGGAAGTTTTATTTGTGAATAACTTTCGAAACATTCCAGTCTAATATATTTATTTAAGATATAAAAACAGATAAATGTCAATAACTTAAGTGCCTACTCATATATATATTATAAAACATACCTACCCTATATACCTAAGTCAATCTAATGTGAAAAATTTTTAGACGTCTCGTCATAGGACTTATTACATAAGTGCTTAAAATTAAAATTATTCTATTCCCTATTCTTGCACTGATGACAACTAGTAAATCAAAGTATAATTAGCTTATGTGTAATATCTAGAAGTTAAGGTGGGTTGGTGGTGATATATATATTGTATTCTTACTATGTCACGCACAGAGCCGATATGCATCTATTTAGACATTCCTAGATAGACTTGTATTATGGTTGGTCAATTAAATACATCATGTATACAATAAACCTACAGAAGAAGGCAAGAGCATTTATTGGCATTTTATTTAAGTACCGATCTATATACTACTACTACTATTATACTATAGATGTGAAATAAATGGAATACAAAGAAAAATATCGTTTTATTGTCTATATTTTATCATTACATGTAATAAAATCGTCGAACTTTAACAAGGCGAAATCTGTGTTGTAATTTGTAAATTTGTGTGTTTACTTCCTCTCGTATACCTACTGATGATATATATATATATTTATAAAATAAAGTATCGTTCTACAATTAGAATGAGAATTTCACATTACTGCAATGAAATAAGAACCATGGGTACAACGATAGCCTTTATAGGGGAACAAAATGAAATTTACGTACCTACGTAGGAGAAATAAGGGAAAATTAAACGATAATGTAGGAGAGAATGAGAATGATATAATTGTCTACTGTGGGTTAGGTGGGTAGGTACATTCGAATCATATATATCTATCTATAATTAATAATGATATATGATGTATATATAGTTGTTCTTGTAACAAAACATCCCGTCCCCTGGATGAATGGAACCAAAGAAAAATGTTATTTGTGCTTCTTACGACGCGACGCTAGACGCTAGTTTACATTTACCTACATGTGTTGTGTTCTACACGTGTTACAAGGCAATTATTGTTTACTATCGTAATTAACTGTTTAATTAAACAACACGCATACATACATACATACTACTACTAGACATACTATTTCAAATTATTAATCAATTATTATTTCTTACCAAGTAATAAGGTATTACCTATACCTATGTAAACATTTTTTGATCTAGAGGACATACTGGCTGGTTGTAAAAAAATCGTGTATCACTTGTTTTTTTTTTTCACAAAATTTAGTATTCTGTATCAATTTTACGGAAAAGAACGGGTTAAATTTTGGACATACTCGGAATTAGTAATCATGGGTTTTCAAGTGTAATGTTATTACGTAGCTTATTTTAGACAGCTTATTTGATGAGAAAGTTTTATTAGTAATTTGTACGCTTAGAGTCATGTTTTTTTTAAGCTACATGGCACTTAAACTCAACAAACGTTATAAAAAAAAATCGTTTGTGGTCCTAGCTATTATTATACTTATTAAGCATTCATGGGTATTTTGTCAGTTATTATGTTTTTGTTACCAAGTCCTCTACACATAAAAATTAGGTTGAAATACATTCAACAAGCCATTTTTTTTAATAAGTTGTAAGGACGCTGAATTGGATATTTTTTTAAAAATCACATAATTTAGAATAACTCGAAACATATAGAGGGTCAAAATAATTGCATCTGAGCTCCTCTACCTAGTCCTGTAGGTCTACCACGAAGTGCAATTCCGAAATTTCGGATCGATATTTCGTGTGATTCGTACCATGAAAAACGTTCATTCCGAAATCGTGCCCGAAAACGGAGAATATCGTTTCGATCGTCCCAAATCGTACCATGAAGTATCCGTTCGTACGTTATTATGACGTTTTGACAGCACGTTTATCGTGATTTAAAGTGCGAAGTAGACGAAACCTAAATAGTTAACTTTTTACTTTCGTAAGTATGGATTTTACGTATATAAGTGCTGTAATATATAAAAAAGTGATTAATTAATAATTCAGTTAATGTGTTACAGTGAATAATGTGATAAAAGTTAAACTAATTAGTGTTTTTAAATATTATTGTCTTCAATATAACCTACAACTTAGCATTACTTTATTTTGATTTAGTTTCATTATGCCAAGATTGGCTGGAATTTTAGAAGCCCTCAATGAAGAAGAAATTGAAAGACGCAGGTTTAAAAGAAAAATGCGTACTAGGTACCTCCAAAGATCCATTCCCGACTTCGAGTTTGTATCTAAATACAGACTCAGTCGGGAAGTCTTCGAGAATCTTTGTCAGTATGTGGTACGATTATTACCCCTGCCTAAAAATCGATCCAATAACCAAAGTAAGATCTTATGTACATTTTGTAGATGAAAAAATTTAGTATTTACCTATTATTTAGTATTCCCATATCTATATTTTTTTCTCAGATTCTCACTGCATTAAATTTTTATGCCAGTGGTAGCTACCAGGGTGCAGTCGGACAAAATTTAGACACCACTATGGCTCAGCAGTCTGTCTCAAACTGCATCAGGGATGTAACAGATGCCCTAAATACACCCTATATACTAAGGAAATATATAAGATTTCCTCAGTCCAGGGAAGACAGGAACATATTGAAGAGAAAGTAAGTTTATGTATATTAAATATGATTAAGATTTAACTTTATAGAATTTTATGCTCTTTGTCGATTTATAATACATATACTATTAATTTAGTTCAGTCAACTATTTGTAGCTGTAAATTTATAAATGATATTGTTGTTAATTTCAGGAATCAGCATAAGTTAATTGATGTTTAAATAATCAGTAGTTTATATTTCTTTTTCAGTTTTGCTACACAGTATGGTATCCCTGGTGTTATAGGATGTATCGACAGCACCCATGTAGCTATAATTCGGCCAACAGTCAATGAAGAGAGATTTTTCAATAGAAAACATTACCACTCTTTAAATGTTCAAGTTGTAAGTACAGTATTTTATGTAAAATTTGCATAGTGTATAAATAATTCTCAAGTTATTCATATTTGTCACTATCTGCAAATATCTTTATAATGTTTGTCCTATTTTTTAGATTGCTGACAGTAATTTAAAAATTATGAATATTGACGCCTCTTATGGTGGTACCACTCATGATGTATTCATTTGGGAGCATAACGAGATCAAAGATCATTTGGAGAGTCTTCAAGGAGAAACAACTTATTTGCTGGGTAAATAAATCGTAATTGTTAAGTTTGTAGTTGTACTACATATAAAATTGGTGAACAAACAAGAATACAATGTTTTGTCATTCCTTTTCATTATTAGGATGTCATAAAAGATGATTATAGATTGTATTTCAGTATTTTTTATGTTAAATATTATTAGCTGATATTATATTGAATAGTCTATAAGCTATCAAGTGCATTTATCAAATTCCAAGTCTCACAGTTAAGTATGTTTTCTTTTCTTTCAGGTATATAAAGATTAGAAGAGAGCCATACATTCTATTTATGGTATGGGTTCGAGATAGTCATTATATCAAGGCTTTAAAGAATCAAATATCCTCACCGTTGCCTCACAGTACATTTATGAAATATTATGTATACAAGGAAAAACTTAGATAGTTTCAAGAAACTTAAAAGACTGTACAAGTAGAAACTTATGCAATAAAAATATACTAATTTTACCTAAATGCTTTTAAAATTGATATTAAACAAATGTTATGTAAAAAAGCCTATTATAGGATAGATGAATTCATAGATGACAGCAATATAATAAGTTTATTTGAATAAATGATTTTCTATTCTATTCTATTAGAAGTTAAGGCATTACTTATTTACAAAATTAAAAACTTTTTACAATAAAATATTTTTATTTTATAATCACATATATATAGGTATATATATATATATAGATAAAAGTAAAATCAAAATTGTATATTAAACATTTTTTAAAATAACACTAATTATAAATGATTAAACATTCATTCAGAAAAATGTATAAGTATATGCAAACTAAGTAGTGTAGTTCAAGGCGCATTAAATTAATGACCAGTAAAAAACTGTAGTTTAGTACTTTGTGTCTTTGTTAATACTTATATAAAGCTAAGTAACATTTTTATACTCATTATTTAACAAATCAACAAACTAACATAATTCAACAAATCAACAATGATATATATAAAGCTAAGTAACTTTTTTATACTCATTATTTAACAAATCAACAAACTAACAGAATTCAACAAATCAACAATGATATATCTAAAGCTAACTAACCTTTTTATACTCATTATTTAACAAATCAACAAACTAACGTAATTCAACAAATCAACAATGATATATCTAAAGCTAAGTAACTTTTTTTATACTCATTATTTAATAAATCAACAAACTAACACAAATCTACATTAATCATGTCAAATTTAAAAAAAAAACAAAATTTCATCTATTCAGTCGTCTTAATTCTATTTGTAGACCATCCAATCGATCCCTTATTAATACATTTAATTCCTGGAGTGATTGGCGAATCAGCCCTGACTCTACCACCCGTCGATCCTCCGCTGCGATTCGCCGCTCCTCCATTTCGAACAAACGCCGGCGTACACTGCGAGGTCCAATGGCGTCTGCTCGACGGCGTCGTCGCTCTGGACGTGTAGTAGCCGTTGAAGTTCTAAAAAAGTTTTTTTTAAAATAATTATTATCATTATTGTTTTCGGTATGCATGATTGGTACTAATACC